TTGTAGTGGCGTCATATATGCATAAAATATATATTTGAGCAAAAATGAATTAAAAATTAAATTCATTTATTTAATTCAAAAATTAAAATTAAAATGATTAATTCGGTTTAAGTTTTTCACCCACGACGATAACTGACTCCCCACATAATTAGAAAATGACTTTTTTTTTTTTTTTCTGTTGCTAATTTTTTGAGGATCTCCTCAAAAGCAAAGCGGATTTAATTCATTTGGTTTAATTTTTTTTTTGACATGAAGGGAAAATTTAAAATTTTTTTTCTGTCTGTGATTCTTTCTGTCTTTGTTCTTTTCAAATGCGATCAAACATCCTTCGAAAATATTTTTTACGTTGAGGTAGAGACTCCTCCTCCATCTTTTATTTTAAATTTATTTATTTATTTATTTCGATCAAGTTTTTACCCTGAGATCGAAAATTGTGAATACGAAAGCGGATGTATGGAAGTAATAAATAATTGTCACGATGGTTTTTTTTTTTAAAAGGACGACACCCAATCTCTGTAATGAAAATAAATCGTAAAATCGATCGTTAATAAATCAAAAAAAAATTATCTATGGACATCGATCGATCGATCGTTTTTTAAAACAATAAATCATAAAATTTATTTTCACGGCCAAATTTTTTTAGTGGAAAATTAAAATTTCACGGAAAAAATAAAATTTTAAAAGTCGTCGTATTAATATTTTACTATTTAAATATTTCGTGTGCATCGCATCGAAAGTTTGTTTGTTTGTTTGTTTGTTTGCTTGCTCGCTTGTTCGTTTGTTTATTTATTTGTTTATTTTTGTTTCAAATGAAGCTTGTCGATACGGGAAAACAATTGAATAAGAATAAAAATAAAAAAAAATTTGAATTTAATTACAAACTAACCGTGATTCCTAAAATTGTTTTTTTTTTTTTTTTTTTTACGAAATTGGGACAAGCCGAAAATAATAATAATAATAATAATAATAATAATTACGTCTTATAGATAACACCCTCATAAATGTATTAGAAAAAGTGGTAGACATTAATTTAACCACAATTAATGAAATTATATATGCTGCGGGGGTAGTTGCCACAGATATTATACTTGGGCCAAGAAAAGAAGCTCGTCATAAAGGAATAGAAACAAAAAAGTCAACATCACCAATATGGATACAAAGAATAGAGGGAAAAATAAAAAGAATAAGATCACATATCTCCCTGGTATCCGAAATGAAGAAGAATAATAATTTAAAGAAGAGGACAATAAAGAAACTGGATCACCTTAAAAGGATCTATAAATTGAAGACCATGGAAGATATAGAACTTACCATGGAAACTTTAAAACAAAAGGTGTTGCTCTATTCTCAGAGAATAAGGAGATATAAGAAGAGAGAGCAATTTTGGCGACAAAATAAAT